AGCTTCAGGCGCACCAGCGCGAGGTCAGGGGTCAAGCTGATCCAGATGTCGTCCGACACCCTGAAGAGCAGCACTCTGTGGTGCCAGAGGAAGCCGTTCTCGTCATCTGGGTAGTGGACCAGGATCTGCGGGTCGCCGATGTCTAGCGTCAGCACGTCCGCCATCGGGCTACAGCTGCCGGCGGCTCGGCGTCGAGGGCCCTCGGCCCGGCTGCGGGCACGTCAGCCCCTCCACCGCCGCCGCCCTCGAGGCCGCGGCCGGTTGGGCGCCGGGCTCGGCCGCCCGGCTCGGCGCGCGCTCTCGCCCGCCGCAGCGGCAGCGCCGGCAGGCCCCCACCAGGAAGCCCAGCGTGCCAGCACCAGAGGCCACGGCGCCGAGCAGCAGAAGCCCGGCCAGCAACAGGCACCGCAGCGCCCACACCTCCGACTGGAGGAGGCCGACCTCCTGCTGGAGGTCGATGATCTTGCGCAGCTCCCAGTCGCAGGAGCAGCGCTCAGAATCCTCCTGGCCGTGGCCGGAGGTCGCGAACGGCGCCGCGGGGGCCGCCTGGGTGGAGACTCCGCCCCAGCCCCAACTCCAGCAGGCGCTCCAGGTCGCCCCCCAGGCCGTGAGCAGTGTCGCCCACAGCGGAGGCGCCCCTCCGTCCATGCAGGGGCCGCCGCGGCTGGGGGCCTCTCAGACTTTGAGCCACCGCAGTTGCGGAGGGTCAGCATTTACACGCACGGGCGAGGAGGGGCCTGTTGGGGTATTCACGTCTACGACTATACACAACAACAATAATATGTTTAAGACCGTTCGCCTTCCTATGCTCGAGTGTCCAATAACGCGTATTTCCCAAACCCTCGATACCTGCCTTCTTCGTCATCGATCGAAACCCTTTTGGGGGGTATACTTTTCTTCCCTGCAGACCGGGCCCCCGCAAGCGGCGGGGCGGCCGCGGACCGTCGGCCTGGCCAGCGGCAGCGCTGATCGGCGGGGCGGCCGCGGACCGTCGACCCGACCCCAAGAGGGACGTACAGGGAACCGACGACGACGACGACGACGACGACGACGACGACGATTTTTTTTTGGTTCCATCGAGTTCGGGGAAACAAAAGATCCGCATTGCTTGAGTTTGTGGATTGTGTGCGAGCGAACTGCATTAGAAAGATTCCCGTCGCAGGGCACGGTTGCCCTATCTCGCCTGTCTGGGGCGCGCCACGCGAGCAGGGGGCTGCGACGAGCGTCAAAACCTGCTGCGTCCTCGGCTGGTGGCCGAGAGTATTTAAATCATCTTACCTCGAGCTGGCTGTCCTGACACCAAAGAGATGCATGGAAAAGGGGGAGGCGGGAAATTCCGAACAAAACTGCCTTTGTGTACGTAATTTCCCCCCTGGGCCTTCCAGGCAGGCTGGCAGAGTTAGGGGCCTAGAAAATCCATGGCCCCCGTCTCTTGGGCGCCTAAATCGGCGTGATCGAGCTCGGGCATTATGTTTGAAACGTCCGCATTTGCTTGGCTCAGGCGTGACAGCAGCGGCGTCTGAGCGGCTGGCTGTCGAACGGGGGCCAAACAAGCGCATGCGTGCGTTGGTGCTGGCAGGCTGAGAGCAGGCGCGAGACGGTGGTCTCAGGAAAAAGGGGAACTTCGGATGCCGGCGGACCTCCGATCCTGAGTGCACCGTGCACGTAGATTCACTGGGCGGGAGAGGCTGGCCACGCACGAACGTGACTGGGCGATGCTCATGCACTTCGGTCGGGAGAGACTGGCCACGCGCAGGTAATTAAGACTGGATGCCGCTCACTCACTTCTGTTGGAGCGTGTCCACCCACGTTCCGAGCTCCTCTTCGAGCCAACCTGGGGGCGCTACTCCTGTCATCACCTTGCCCACCCCCTCGGAGCGGAAGGCTGCCAGGACGTCCTGGCGGAGGCTGAAGTTGTTCATCAAGAGCTGGAGCTTGACGAACTTCTTGTCGTGGCACGACTCGACTCGGATGAACGCTATGCTGTCTTCGATGTCGTGTTTGGTGATCGTCGCTGTGCTGTCGGCCTCCGCTGGCTGGACCTTCTCGAGCCATGCGTTGAGTGTGGCTCGGAGCGCTCCGCCCACGCCCGCTACGACGACGACGACGACGATGACGACGACGACGACGACGGCGACGTCGAAGACGACGGCGACGACGACGACGGCGACGACGAGCGAAAGCGAGAGCGAGAGAGAACGACAGCAGGGCCACGAAGGGCACGAAGTAGGCCACGAAGGGCGACAGCGGGGACACGAAGGGAATGCGTATGGGGCCACGAAGAGCGCGAACGAGCGGGGGCCACGAAGTGCAGATAATGCGGGGCCACAGAAGGCAACTATGGGGCCACTGAGGGTAGCAACTGGGCCACGTAGGACAGTGAGGGGGACACAAGTGGCGACAGCGGGGCCACGAACGGCATGCACATGGGGCCACAACGAGCGCGTCTCCTGGGTGCCTGGGTGTCGGGAGCGCGGCGCTTGGGCAAATTGCAAGAAATTCCAACGCAAGGCCGTTCTTCAGTAAGTTGCAAGCAAGTCTCCAGCGAGAGCGCGACTCCAGAGCGCCGGGAGAGCGATTCCTGAATAAATTGCAAGGAAGTCCCAAGCGAGAGCGCGAATCCTGAATAAAATGCGAGGAAGTCTCGGGCGGGAGCGGAGGTCCTGGCTAAATTGCATGGAAGTCTTAAGCGGGAGCCGTTGTTGTTGTAACCCGGGGGCCAGGGGCCCAGTTTGAGCATCAAGACTTTCCCTGTCAAATTAGCATCGCGAAGAACCCAACCATATGCAGTTGTCAGTACCGCAGCTGCGGGTTTCATCTTCAATAGAACTCCCCATAGGACTACGGAACGTGTGAGGGGTGTGCCGAGATGGGTGCCACTGGGGCATTCGGCGAAGCTCCCTATGGGGACATGAAACACGCGCGGGGCGTGCCGACATGGGTGGCGGAAACGCATGTGCGGGCCGCCACTGGGGCCTCCAGTGGAGCTCCCTATGGGTCCCCGAAACATGATGCTGCTGCGGGGGGGGGGCCGGGATGGGTGGCGGAGACGCATGTAAGCGCCGCTACTGGGGCCTTCGGTGGAGCTCCCTATGGGGCCACGAAGCGCGTGAGGTGTGTACTGGGATGTGCGGCGGGGACGCATGTGAGCGCCGCCACTGGGGCCTTCGGTGCAGCTCTCTATGGGGCCACGAAACGTGTGAGGGGTGTGCCGAATTGGGTGCGGGTGGTGACGCATGCGGGCGGTGCCACTGGGGCCTTCGGTGGAGCTCCCTATGGGGCCACGAAACCTGCTGTTGTGAGGGGCGTGCCGGGATGGGTGGCGGGGACGCACGTGAGCGCGGCCGCTGGGGCCTTCGGTGGAGCTCCCTATGGGGCCACGAAACGTGTGAGGGGTGTGCCGAATTGGATGGGTGTGGGTGACGCATGTGAGCGCCGCCACTGGGGCCTCCGGTGGATGAAGGGACCACGAAACCTGTCAGGGATGTGCCGAAATGGGTGTGCGAGACGCATGCGCATGTGAGCGCCGCCACTGGGGCCTTCGGTGGGGCTCCCTATGGGGCCACGAAACGTGTGAGGGGTGTGCCGAATTGGGTGTGCGTGACGCATGCGGGCGGCAGCACTGGGGCCTTCGGTGGAGCTTCCTATGGGGCAACGAAACGCGTGTGAGGGGTGTGCCGAATTGGGTGTGGGTGACGCATGCGGGCGGCAGCACTGGGGCCTTTTGTGGGGTTCCCTATGGGGCCACGAAACGTGTGAGGGGTGTGCCGAATTGGGTGTGCGGGACGCATGCGGGCGGCAGCACTGGGGCCTTCGTGGGGCTCCCTATGGGGCCACGAAACGTGTGAGGGGTGTGCCGAATTGGGTGTGCGGGACGCATGCGGGCGGCAGCACTGGGGCCTTCGGTGGGGCTCCCTATGGGGCCACGAAACGTGTGAGGGGTGTGCCGAATTGGGTGTGCGGGACGCATGCGGGCGGCAGCACTGGGGCCTTCGGTGGGGCTCCCTATGGGGCCACGAAACGTGTGAGGGGTGTGCCGAATTGGGTGTGGGGACGCATGCGGGCGGCAGCACTGGGGCCTTCGGTGAGGGCTCCCGCATATGGGGCCCCTATGGGGCCACGAAACGTGTGAGGGGTGTGCCGAATTGGGTGTGGGTGACGCATGCGGGCGGCAGCACTGGGGCCTTCGGTGGGCTCCCTATGGGGCCACGAAACGTGTGAGGGGTGTGCCGAATGGGTGTGGGGACGCATGCGGGCGGGGCACTGGGGCCTTCGGTGGGGCTCCCTATGGGGCCACGAAACGTGTGAGGGGTGTGCCGAATTGGGTGTGCGTGACGCATGCGGGCGGCAGCACTGGGGCTTTCGGTGGGCTCCCTATGGGGCCACGAAACGTGTGAGGGGTGTGCCGAATTGGGTGTGGGTGACGCATGCGGGCGGCAGCACTGGGGCCTTCGGTGGGGCTCCCTATGGGGCCACGAAACGTGTGAGGGGTGTGCCGAATTGGGTGTGGGTGACGCATGCGGGCGGCAGCACTGGGGCCTTCGGTGGGGCTCCCTATGGGGCCACGAAGCGTGTGAGGGGTGTGCCGAATTGGGTGTGGGTGACGCATGCGGGCGGCAGCACTGGGGCCTTCGGCGGAGCTCCCTATGGGGCCACGAAACGGTGTACTGGGTGGGTGAAGAGGAGAGGAGGAGAGAAGGAGAGGAGAGGAGAAAAGGAGAGGAGAGGAGGACGCGTGGACCGTCTCTTCAAAACGAGGACCCAACACCACAGGATGGTTGGGAAAAACAGGGTGCGAGCGTCGAGGGGCACACTTTGATTGAGAAAAACAATATGCACCGGTGGGGGGGGGATCAACAACAATTATTCTTCAGAAATGAGAACCCAACAACAACAACAACAACAACAACAACAACAACAACAACAACAACAACAACAACAGCAGCAGCAGCAGCAGCAGCGGCAGCGGCAGCAGCAGTATGCGAGCCCCTCGTCGGCACCAGCGGGTCGCGACGTAGTCGGTGAGCACTGGGTTCGGCGCGTTGTCCCCACGGTGCAGGACGCTCCTGGCGAGGCCAAAATCGCAGACCTGGGCGCGGGCGGCAGCGCGGGGGGAGAAGCGGCTTCCTGAGCGGGGAGGAACACGGCGGCGGAAAGGGACCGGGGCCTCCTCCAGCAGGAGCCCTGCAGGGGGAGGAGGTGGAAGAGGAGGAGGAGGAGGAGGAGAAAGAGGAGGAGGAGGAGGAGGAGGAGGAGGGGGGGAAGAGGAGGGGGACGAGGAGGAGAAGGAGGAGGAGGAGGAGCAGGAGGAGGAGGAGGACGGAGGACAGAGGAGGAGGAGGAAGAGGAGGAGGAGGAGGAGGAGGAGGAGAAGGAGGAGGAGGAGGAGGAGGAGGAGGGGGAGGAGGAGGAGGAGGAGCAGGAGGAGGAGGAGGAGAGGAGGAGGAGGAGGGGAGGAGGAGGAGGAGGGGAGAGAAGGGAGGGGGGGGAGGAACGGAGGGGGGAGGGGGGAGAAGGGGGAGAGGCCTCCTCTGGGAGGAGCCCTGCGGAGGAAGAAGGTCCGGGATGGAGGAGGGAGGGGGGCAGGGGGGAGGGGGAAACAGAGGCCGTCCTCCGACGAGGCAGGGGCGAGGAGGAGGAGGGGGAGGAGCGGTAGAAGGGAGGAGGGAGGAGGAGGAGCAGGAGGAGGAGGAGGGAGGAGGAGGAGGAGGAGGAGGAGGAGGAGGAGGGGGCGAGGGCGAGGGGAGGGGGGCGACCGCGCTCAGGAAGGGAGCCGACCAGGAGGAGGAGGAGGAGGAGGAGGAGGGAGGAGGAAAAGGAGAGAGGGAGGGGGGAGGGAGGAAGGGGAGGGGGAGGGGGAGGGGGAGGAGGAGGAGGAGGAGGAGGAGGAGGAGGAGGAGGGAGAAAAGGAGAGAGGGAGGGCGGGAGGAGGAAGGGGAGGGGGAGGGGGAGGGGGAGGGGGAGGAGGAGAGGAGGAGGAGGAGGAGGAGGAGGAGGAGGCCCAGCGTCGGAATAGGAGGAGGAGGAGGAGGAGGAAGAGGAGGGAGAAGGAGGAGGATGAGGAAGGAGGGAGAAGAAGGAGGAGGGGGGATGGGGGAAGAGCCTCACCCATGGGAAAAAGGAGGGACGGGCACCTCTGGCGACTGGAACTTGTTCACCGTTCTGTTGCGCCCCAGGGGCCGCTTCCGTGCCCTGTGGGGCCAGCCAAGCACGATTGGGGATGAACGGCCAGTCAGTGGGCAGGAAATTGGAGTACGCTCATTCTCCTCTCCCTCCACCTATTCGTCCGCCTCCTCCTCCTGCTCCTCCTCCTTCTCATCATCATCATCATCATCATCATCATCATCATCATCATCATCATCATCATCATCATCATCATCATCATCATCATCATCATCATCATCATCAGCATCATCATCATCATCATCATCATCATCATCATCATCATCATCGTCATCAGCAGTAGCAGCATCATCAGAAATCATCAGCAGCAGCAGCAGCAGCAGCATCCGCATCAGCATCAGCATCGTCATCATCATCAGCCGCATCATCAGCAGCAGCAACATATCATCATCAACAGCAGCAGTATCATCAGCAGCATCATCAACATCATCATCGGCGTCATCATCAGCAGCAACATCATCATCACAATCAGCATCAGCAGCAGCATCAACATCATCAGCATGATCATCGTCATCAGCATCAGCATCAGCAGCATCATCACAAACAACAGCATAATGATCATCATCACCAGCAGCACCACCAGCATACTAAGTGTACTTTTCATTGACACCACCACAACCACCATTACAATCATAACAGTCATCACCATCATCGGCAGCATCATAGTCGTCATCATCATCAGCAGCAGAATCGACATAATCATCATCAGCATGATCGTCAGTATCAGCATCAGCATCACCGGCATCATCACCATCATCATCGTCGGCGTCGCCGTCGTCGTTCTCCTCCTTCTCATCATCATCGCCATCATAATCACAACCACCACCACCACCATCATCGTCATCATCATCATCATCATCATCATCATCATCATCATCATCATCATCAGCGGGGGCGCAGACATCTCTTGGCTCCCACATGTCAGTTCGTATCTTTTTGCTCCCACATAATGTGTTCAGGCGCCCGTGCGTCGGCCAGGAAGCTGACAGCATTGCTCCGACGCCCAAGCGAGCCGTGGCAAAGCCAGCCTGGCACCGGCGCCAGAGGGCTTCACGAGCAATAGCTCGCGTCATCGTACAACGTTCGACGCCTGAGGTGATCTCGGCAACGCTGAACTCATACTCGCAGCCCTCTGTACGGCGCAATGTGGTTCTGTGCTGGCTGTGGTGCACTTCAAGAGCCGAGACGTGGGCCGGCAGAACTTGGGTGCCCGACCTCCAGCACGACTGCCTCAACATGCCCAGGAGTCCTGGATGTGCCTGACCGCGGCCGCCTCGGCCGAGACGGCAAAGGCAAGGACGGCAAAGGCGAGAGAAGTGATGGCGGTGGAACGTTTCACTCTACAGTCGGACTTGCTTGGAGAGGACACGCGAGAGGACACAAGACCCTTCCGAGGGCCACGTTGCCACAGAAATGCAGGAGGCATGGGTCATGGGTCGCAAGACACAGGACACGAGGGTACCCTTGATCTGGCAGGGTCGATCTACTAATCCGGGCCGCCTGTATCAAGAGTCCTGGAGGTGAAATGGCGAGGAGGGGAATCGGGTTAAGCGCTGCGGAGAGGGCGAGCAGTGCATGAGCGCACACGTCTGACCGAGGCGACCGAAGAGGGCCGCCCCACTCGCCAGAGCAGAACACCCACCCGCCCACCAGGAGGTCGGCTCGGAAGGCCCGTGGCCTTCTGAGGAGAAGTCTTCAAGCCTCCCCCGAAGCGACAGAAAACTTCTCAAAATTCCAGGGGGGCTTCTGCCAAGCCCCGCCGCCTTGCGAGAAGGCCTCCTCCGTCTCACTTCCTCCCATCCAGGCCTCGGAACAAATTAGCGAACACTCATGCCACATTCATCCGTCAACGCCTCCCCCTCCCCCCATGTTCAAAGTTGGCGGTGGGTCTGGTGATATGCACTTCGACCGCAGTGCCCCCCGCGCGTGCCAGTATTGAGTTTGGGGGGGAGGGGGAGTGTGCAGTAATTGTTTCCCTCTACCGTCGCTCGCCGCCGACGAGGATCTCGGCAGGTGGGCGCAGCAAGAAAGAAATTGCGCGGGAGCGGGAGGCGGGCAGGCGCAGAAGGGATTTGGGGGAGGGCCCTGCTCCTCTCCCGGGCCCCCCGGCCAGCCTTCACCTGGCAGTCCGAGTTGAGCAGTATGTTCGACGGCTTGATGTCGCGGTGCAGCATCTGAGCGCCAGCGCGCCACGAGTCGGACAGGAGAGCACCTCCTCCGTCTCTCCTCCTCCTCCTCCTCCTCCTCCTCCTCCTCCTCATCCCCCTATTCCTCCTTATCAGCCTCGTCTTCTCCTTACTCTTCTCATCATTAGTGGGCTTGTTCGTCTGGTTATGAATACTACCACTATTAATCATATTAATAGTGAGAGTATTACTATTGGTACTGACACTGTTCTGTTTATGAAAAAAATACCAGCTTTATTGTTAGTATCATTTTTATGCCGTGTATTACCATTGCTAGCTTCAGTCACATTCGCAGTGTTATTATTACGATTATCAGTATTACTCGTAGTCCTTCTCGCCGTCCTCACCTTCTTCGTCTGATTAGTATTATTCGTCTGACAATGTTATCATTGTCAGTCTTCTTCTTCGTCGCATCAGTACTCCTAATATTCTGACGATTGCCCCCAATAAAAAATCTCACCAGTACTGCTGTCTGTAGTATCAGTAAGATTCGCGGTATTCCTCGTCTTATTCACATTAGTAGTAGTAGTCGTCTTCTGAGTGCTAGTAGTTGTGTCATCAGTAGTACTGTTATTACATCTAGTGTTCGTAGTACTATATAATTAACCTTACTATTATGAGTATTAATATTCCTTCTCCTTCTCCTCCCATCATCATGCTCAGCACCACCACCACCATCAACATCGTCATCACCAACCTATCCAGCACCACAAGCCTAAGCACCTCATCATCATCAGCAGCAGCATCATCATCAGCAGCATCGCCATCACCATCACCATCAACAACAACATCATCATCATAATCATCAGCGTCTTCATCACCATCGTAATCGTCAGCATCGTTATCATAATCATCATCAGTATCACCACCATCAACATCATAATCGAGATCACCATCGCAATCATCAGCATCATCATCAGCATCATCATCAGCATCACCACCATCATCGAATTTGGCATGTTCATCACCATCACGATCCTGATCCTCATCATCAACACCATCGTCGTCGTCATCCTCATCATCATCACCACCACCACCACCTCCATCATCATCAGTATACTCTCAGCATCATCATCAGCATCATCGTTAGCAGCATCATCATCACGATCGCCGTCCTCCTCCGCACTCCCCCCTTGCGAAATGAGCTACTGCACGCTGCACCAACGAGCGGCTGCCAGGACTGCCCGGACGGTCCGCCCGAGACCTCCGCACGAGCGACTGGTCCTCGGAGGGGGCGGGCCCTCTTCGGAGCTTGGCTCTCAGATTCGCTCACACGCTTAGAGCAGCTGCACTGGCCGTCCATAGCGCGCATGCTCCTGGCACGGGCTGCTGCTCGGTCAGTCGCGGCGGCCCATGCTGTCCCAGGCGGGCAGGTGGTGAGGATGGTGGTGCTGATGGCGGTGCTGGGGCGCAGGCGTCGAGGAAGAGAGCGCGCCCTTGCTGGCGCCAGGGGCGGTCGCGCACGAGGTGCTCCTCGGAGTCTCACTCGTGGAATTTCGGACGCACCCCGTCAAGACCCATAGGGTTGCCTTGGCGGCCCGAACCATGCCCGTGGTCCTGAACTCCCTTTCCTCCCTGTCTCCCAACCATCATGTGATGTTGGGTTCTCGTTTTGAAGAGGCAGCGCCCCGCGTTCCTCATCTCCTCCTCTCCTCTTGCTCCCCATCCTCCCTCCTACCCCTCCTTGCCCCTGCCCTCCGTATGTACCAAATTCGGCACGACCCTCACACGTTTCGTGGCCCCGTAGGAAGCTCCACGGAAGACCCGTGTGGCAAGGTCCGCATGCAGTTCCAGCCCACTTGCGGCGCACCCCTCACACGCTTCGTGGCCACATAGGGTGCTCCACCGAAGGCCCCAATGGCAGGGTACGCATGCATTTCCACTTCAATTTCGGCGCACCTCTCACACGTGCCGTGGCCCCACAGGGTGTTCCGCCGACAGCCCCAATGGCAGGGTCCGCGTGCAGTTCCACATCGATTTCGGCGCACCCCTCACACGCTTCGTGGCCCCATAAGGTGCTGCACCGAAGGCGCCAATGACAGGGTACGCATGCAACTCCACATCAATTTCGGCGCACCCCTCACACATGTCGTGGCCCCATACGGTGCTCCGCCGAATGCCCCGATGGCAAGGTCCGCATGCAGTTCCTCTTTTATTTCGGCGCACCGCTCACACGCTTCGTGTCCTTATAGGGAGCTCCACCGAAGGCTCCAATGGCAGGGTCGCTTCGTGGACCCATAAAGAGCTCCACCCAAGGCCGCAGTGGCAGGGTCCACATGCAATTCCACCCCCCTTTCGGCTCACCCCGCGTTCGTTTCACGGCCCCTTCAGGATGCTCCGCCGAACGCCCCAGAGGCAGGGTCTGCATGGAGTTCAACCCTCATTTCGGCGCACCCATCCCACGCTTCGTGGCCCCGCAGGGTGCCCCACCGACGGCCCCAGTGGTAGGGTCCGCATGCAATGCCACTTCCATGTCAGCGCACCTCGCACGTTTCGTGGCCCCATAGGCAGCTCCGCCGAAGGCCCCAATGGCAGGGTCCGCGTGCAGGTCCACCCCAAGTTCGGCGCACCCCTCACACGCTTCGTGGCCCCAATGGCAAGGTCCGCGGACAGTTCCACGTCAATGTTGGCACACCATTCGCAGGTTCGGTTGCCCCATAAGGTGTTCCACCCAAAGCCCCAATGACAGGGTCCGCATGCAGCTCCACCGCCACTTCGGCGAACCCCTCACACGTTTCGTGGACCCGTAGGGAGCTCCACCGAAGGCCTCAAAGGCAACGCCCGCATTCAGTTCCACCCTTCATTTCGGTGCACCCCATCACACGCTTCGCGGCCACAAAGGGAGCTCCGCCGACGCCCCTACAAACAGTCAGGTAAGTTGGTACGATTGGGGAAGTCGGCCCGAAGTCTCAAATCGCACGAAATTACCCGACAGTCGGCCCCGAAAACACCCCAGACGGTCCCGAAATGGCGGGTGTGAACATGGCCTCGGGCGTCGGATCCGGGCACGGATCCGCTACGGATCTGGGGCGGACCCGATGCATTTTCAGGGAACCCCGCATTCTGAGTGGTGAAACCCATCATGTTTGGACGGATCCTGTCGAACCACTGTACCCTTGTATAATATGACTCATGGGTAGTGAAGGTTTTCGAGGCTGGCTCCCGGTCGGGGGCGCGGGGCAGGGGCCACGGGGGGGGGGGGCGCCTTGTAGAACTTTACCGAAGCGTTCCTCCTAGAATTTTACTGACCACGTCGTTCCATTAAGAATTGTACTGCGCCGGCCCTTAGAGGACTCTTTTCTCTTACCAAGGGGAAAAGCAATCGCGGAACTGATGCATGTTCAGACCCCGCGGAGTCGTCGATGACGCACCCATGCTCGGGTTCGCTTATGTTCAGACACAAGCCGATTCACAATCACTCGCCCAAGATCACTCGCGCCCACACCCGCACGTGCCCAGGCCCAGTCATACCCCAACCCCATTCGCGCCTAGACTTAACCAGTCTCGCCCTGCGCAGGTGCTCACTCGGACGGAGCCACTCAGACCCCCTCCGCCCCGCGCAGGGGCTCACTCGCGCCGAGTCACTCGGACCCCCCCTCAGGTGACACCCGCCGAGGGCGCGCGACAACCGCCCCCCAAATACCTTCAACAACTCGGGAGGCTGCGGCCTCCACTGGGATCCCGACCGCCCGTCTTGCCGCTTGGGCCGCGGCGTCGGCGATCCCGAGTTGCTGCAGGCCCCAGGAAGGGCCCCCCCCGTGCCCTCGGCAGATGTCAACTGGAAAAAGGGAACAACATTGAAAATGCGAACAGGTGAGGAAGCGCGCGGGCGCGCTCTTCGGGGCAGCGACGCCAGGAAGAGCGAGGAGGCAAGGATTTCGCGAGTGGGGCAGCAACTCCAATCCTAAGAGATGCCTGAGCTTGTCTGCACTTCCGCCGCCGCCGCGGGCCGTCGTCGACGTCGTCGTCGCTGCCGTCGCCGACGCCGCCGTCGCCATCGTCGACATCGCCGCCATCGCCGCTGCCGCCGTCGCCGTGGACGTCGCCGCCATCGCCGTCGCCTTCGACGTCGTCCGTCGCTGCCGCCATTGCCGTCGCGGGGGGTCGCGGACGTGCCGGGCGCGCCAACGGGGCCCCACAAATCGCACCCACCTTATCGAGCTGCCTGCAGTAGCAGCGCGCGCGCGCAGTTCCAAACTGCATCTCGGAGCACCCCTCACACGCGTCGCGGCCCCACATGGGGCTCCGCCGACGGCTCCAGCGACAGCGTCCGCATGGCGCACCCGCGCCAACGTTGGCACACCCGTCACACGCCTCGTGGCCCCAGAGAAAGGTTGACCGAGGACGATGCCCACAACTGCGATACTCGAAATTGCAAATGGTTGGGCCCTTCGCCGAGATTCTCGCCGCCCTGCCCGCAACCCGCGGAAGTTTTCTGGAGGCCGTTCCCCGACAGGGTGGCGAGGAAAGCATGGCGGCTTTGACCTTTACCCTTGCCTTTTCCTTTCGATGAGCCCGCGGACGCGGCGCGCGGGTCGGCGATTGTCGAAGCTGCGCCAGCGCGCATTGGCGCGCTTGTAAGCCCAGAACAGGTGCGCACAGGGAATGTCGCGTAGCTCGGGGTCGTCGGCAGCTATCCCCTCGCCTACTGAGCTGGCGGCGTCGGCGTCGGTACCTGAATCGATCTCCGTTGCCGGGCGTGCCCCCAGCCCTGGTCGGCGGCGCCGCGCTAGAGGCACAGCCCCCAGGCACGGCCTCGGCTGGCGCAGGGGGCCTTGGCGCCGATCCCACTAGAGCAGGACAGCTCTGCTCCTGCGCGGGCGCGCCCGCGAGGAACGCGCGCTGTTGGGCAGCGTGGACCACTGAAGCGAGGTTGCCTGGCGATCCCTCTATCATGTGCCCAAAGCGTCCCAGCTGGCCCGTCATCAGGGTGAGCTGCTGAGATTTCGTGGGGTAGGCCATGTTGCAGCGCTGTAGGAGCACGATAAATTGACTGCTCGACGCGCCAACAGCGAGCAGCAGGAGGAAGCCGAGCCCCTCGTGGCCGATTGCGGGTTGGCCAGCTTGCTGCGCCCAGTTGCGGGGGATGTCGAACCTGGTTAGAATGTTGTCGATGCGTTCCTGCAGCAGTCGGTTGGAGGCGCGTTCCTCCTCGCCCAAATGGCTCCATTCTCCGGCAAAGCTGTGCACGAGAAAGGCCACCGGTGGCACTGGATTGCCGTGGATGCTCCCTGGATCAGGACAACTAGCGGCCGTTCGTCCACGCACTCGCGCGCCATGCTGGCAAGGAGCGACCAGACGTAGGCCGCCTGGCGGAATTCGTTGAGGTCTGAGCTCGCCACAGACCAGATCCTCACCTCGCGCACCCATTTCTGGAAAGGCACGCGAGCCTGCTGCTCGGGCCCCCAAATGCGGAGGTGGCGCATGTCGCCGTAGCTCCCTCAGCACGTCGTAGAGGTGCTGGTGGCCGGGGATCCTCAAGCGGCGTTGCATGAGTCGCCATGGACACTTACCCCAAATGTGTTGCTCATCGCCAGCGCGTTGGGCGCATGCTTCTGTCGTGGCAATGCAATGCTCACAAAACTCGGAGCATCCCGGAACACACTCACGGGAATGCTCTTCGTACGTCGCGTGGCCACTGTACTGAACACCGCAAATTGCACGATCGTCTTGAGGAGTGCACACCGGGATCCCGGCCTTCCCGGCTGGCGGGGCTGAGTCGGTAAAGCGAAGGGTCAGGTCCCGAGGTGTGGTGCATCGGAGCGATGGCGTCCCAGTCGTTGTGCCCTCCACTGCACTACCTCATGGGGGTGACAACAGTGTCCCCATACTCCCCAGTCCATCCCCGCTCGGCACCAGCGGCACAGTCGCCGGACGCCTCTTCTCTCGTTGCTTGTCCCAGGGCTCTCGAGGCAGTCCCAAGAAGCTCGGGACTTGTTCTGACACCGAAAATGGGAAAGCCGTGTCGAGCAACTGCTGACGCTGCCCGCACTGGCGGGGGCACTGATACTTTGGGATCCGCGAGTTGCCTGGACACAATCCGTGCACGCCTGGGATTGTTAGTCCTGTTGTCCTTGGTCCTGGCGGATGAGCGGATGCCCTAACGGACCCTCGAGCAACGTCATAGTGAACGGGAAAAGGTGCACGATGGCGGACGCGTTGAAGGCGGCGTGCACGCTCCCAGTCGCGGCTCCCGGCAGATGGGCTGGCACAGCCCCGACGGACTTCAAAGTAACGTATCCTGCGGAAGCGAAGAGGAGGAAATGCACGAAGGCGTGGATGTTGAAAGCGGTTGACCGAAGTCGAACGCGGCGGAAGGTGGAAGCCATTTTGGTCGACGCGAGGCGAAACATGGCGGCCGTGCTGGGAGCGGGGGTGAACCTGCTTCGCTACGAACTAGAAATAAAGATGTAAGTAAGGAAATGATGTTTTCCGCAAACGCTGTACAGCGCATGATGGTATAAGGCGGAATGTCTAAGGCGCGTCTAAGGTGGGCACGGTGCAGATCAGGCATTGAGCCGAGACAGTGCAGCGGACCAGCAAAGGTTGGCAACAGGGCACTGGACAAGGAGCTACCGTTCGAGTGGAGAGGGGATGAGGAAATACGGGGTGGAGGAAGAGGAGGAGGAGGAGGACAAGAAGGAGGAGGAGGAGTGACGAGTCCGTCCGTCGTCCGCGGTTCTCTGTAGGAGGCCGGAGTAGGACGGAGGACAGCGGACGGCGGACGGACTCCTCAGTGATTTGTTGTGCTCTGGCATTGAAGGGCCTCGCGCTCGACATCGGGGAGCTCAGAACTGCGAGGATGTCTCAGGCGGCGCCCAGACCCCTCCCAGAGCACCATGAGACCACTAAAGTGTAATCAAATGGCTTGTTTGGGTCTGACCCCTCCTTCCTCCTTCCTCCTCCTTCTCGGAGCCCAGAGTTGCGAGGATTTCTGAGGGGAAACAACACGCTCGACCACCGCGCGCGCAGCATGTCGGAGCCCAGAGTTGCGAGGATGTATTGAGCGAAACGCCCCGAACCACTTCGCGTATGGCGTATTGGAGACAGCAATTGGAAGGATGTCCCAGGCGAAACGCGCCAGACCACCTCGCGCGCAGCATCTCGAAGCTCAGAGTTGCGAGGATGTCTCAGACAACACGCGCTTGACAACCTCGCGCGTAGCATCTCGGAGCTCAGCATTGCGAGGATGTCTCAGGCAAAACGCGCCAGACCACCTCCTGTGCGGCATCTCGGCACCTAGATTCACGAGGATGCCTCGGGCAAAACGGGCTGGAGCACCTCGCGCGCAGCATGTCGGAGAGCCCACAGTTGCGAGGACGTCTCGAGCAAAACGCGCCGAACTACCTCGCGCGCGGCGTCTTTTGGAGCCCAGCCTTGCAGGGCTTTCTCGGGCGAGGCGCACCAGACCGCCGCGAGCGCGGCATGCGAGGATAGACAGGCGGCGCACAGACCCCTCCCCGCGCACGAGTCGGCAACAGAGGCGTAAGGAAGCGGTTCGCTTGGGTCTGACCCCTCCTCCCTCGTCCCTTCTACACCCTGCGAAATGCCTGCGAATCATGCTGCGAAATGCTTAAGTCAGAACTTTAATAACAACCCAACATTTCTGTCTAAATCTGAGGATTTACAATGAAACGTTAAGAATAATCGAGACTCTGGCCGAAAATGTAAGTTTTCTTAAGCATCGCCTAAGGTATACCTCTTTGAGCCCAGAGTTTCGAGGATGTCGCAAGCGAAACACGCCAGACCGCCTCGCGCGCGGCAGCTCGGAGCTCAGAGTTGCGAGGAGGTCTCAGGCGGAACGGACTTGCACACCTCTCGAGCAGCATCTCGGAACTCAGAGTTGCGAGGATGTCTCAGGCGAAACGCGTCGCGCGCAGCGTCTCCGAACTCAGAAGTTGCGAGGATGTCCCATGCGAAACTTGCCGCACCGCCTCGCGCGCGGCAGCTCGGAGCCCAGTGCGAAACTCGCTGGACCACCTCGCGCGCGACAGCTCGGAGGCCAGAGTTGCGAGGACGTCTCAGGCGAAACGCACCAGACCACCTCGCGCGTACCATCTCGGACCTCAAAGTTGCGAGGATATCTCAGGCGAAACGCGCCGGACCACCTCGCGCGCGGCATCTCGGAGCCCAGAATTGCGAGGACGTCTCAGGCGAAGCGCCCAATCCTGGCTAACTCAGAGACGAGACTTGCGAGGATGTCTCAGGCGACACGGCCCTGACCACCAAACTGTCGTGAGGATGTATCTGCGCGCCCGTCCCTCGACCGGAATTTGTCACGACCTAACAGCACCCCGCTCAGCAGCTGCTTGGGGAGAGAAGAGAAGGAGGAGGCAGAGCCTGTCCAGAGTGCATGTACCGCAGCGACCGGAGAAGCTGGTGGATGATGTACCTGCAATGGGTCTGGGGCCTCCCATCTCCAATGCTGGGCTCCGATCTCGATCCCGTCCACATCTCCTGCCCCGTCACGGCGCCATCCCCGCGCCTTCTCCCTCCCCGTTTCCACGCCCACCGCCTCCCCACCATCCCCTCACCGCTCTGGTCTCCTCTCTCTCTCTCTCTTTCTCGTTCTCCCTCCTTCTCTCCGTCCCTCTCCACTTCTCTCTCGCCCCGATCTCCCGTCCACGGCCCCTTCCCCTTCACCACCCCCATCCCTTCTACCTTCCCTTGCCTTCTCCTGGCTCTCCCCGCCCTCCTCTCCTCCCCCCCTCGCTGCACGATCGGGGGTCGGGGCGGAGGAGGGCGTGATGGGAAGAGGAATGTATGGAGGGCAAGGGAGGGAGAGGGGGGGGGCGCGAGGGAGAGGGGGGGGGGGCGAGGAGGGGGGCGCGGGGGGGGGGGGGGGCGAGGGAGGGGGGGCGCGAGGGAGGGGGGGGGACGCGAGGGAGGGGGGGGAGGGGGCGAGGGAGGGGGTGGGGGGCGAGGGGGGGGGGGGCGCGAGGGAAGGGGGGGGGGAGAGCGAGGGAGGGAGGGGGAGACGCGAGAGAGGGTGAAAGGGGGAGGGGGGGGGGGAGGGGGGCGAGGGAAGGGGGAGGGGCAAGAGGGCGCGAGAGGGGGGGGCAAGAGGGCGCAAGGGAGAAGGACGAGCTGACTGGCCCTCCCTGCGCTCCTGGGCTCTGCACCTGGCCACCCTCTGTGCACGCCCCTTCGCACCAAGTGCAGGGCAGCGAGGCCGCACACCGACCTGCCAGCCGCGGAGAGGCTGTCAGGGTTCGGCTCCTTGCCTGCGAGATGCGGCAGGCTGCTGCGAGCCTCCACGGCCGCGGAAACGCCGGCGTGGAGTGGCCTTCCGGTGGGTCCGGGCGGGGGCACCACGCCAGCACGGAACCCGACAGCGCCGCGGCTGCAGGCACTCGGTCCTGGCCCCGGAAGGGCAGCCACCCCCCCCGAGCAAGTCCCAAGACCGCACGCAGCCCCCTGGCGGCGAGGCGAGGCCCCCCCCCCGGCGCGTGCCGCCCAGCTCGGTCGGCACGTCTTGTGGATGTCCTCCAGGATGTTAGCCCGAATGACGGCATGGAGGTCTGACTCCATGTAGTCGGTGACGAGATAGATGTCCTGCGGGAGGCAAGCGCAGCCAGGCGGTACCCTCCGTTCCCCTCCCCTCCTTTGCCCCTGCGCGGGCGTGCTGGCGAGAGGGAGGGCCACAGCCACTGTAACTCGGGCCAGTCTGAGGTGGCGACACGGTCGCCGAACGCTCACACTGAGCCATCCGAATATCAGTCTGGTGTAGTGGCGGTGACGACTTAGGCCTCCTGCGAGCAGCGAACAAAGAGCTCGGATCCTCGACCAGCGATCGTCGGCGACGATGACGGCGACGGCAACGGCGACGCCGACGGCTGTGGCCACGACGGCGGGAAAGCGGAGGAGGAGCGGAAGGGAAGGCGGGCTGAGAAGGGGAGGAGCAGGAGGAAGGGGAAAAGGGAGGAGGATGCGGAGAAGGAGGAGGAGGAGGAGGAGAGGAGGGCGAGGGAGAGGGAGGGAGGGCAAGGGCAAGGGTAATGGAGAGAGAGAGAGATGGAGGGGAAGAGAGGAAGTGAGGGGGGAGGGGGGGAAACCAAAAGGTACCTACCTATACTGCTCCCAGGACCTGTTGGAGCGCGTTATGACCAGAAACTCGAGGAGAACACAACCAGGGCGTCGGGAGCTCTTCAGGATGAGCAGCGGTATCAATACCTCTTCCTCCCTTGAAGGGGGTGGACACTCGGATGGGCAGCGCCTCCATCGGCAACCCCGACACGAAGCGCGACGCTCGCCGACGACGCTCTCCCCAGAAACACCCAGAGTGACCGGCCGGTGCTCGCAAAGCGCTCCACGCACCCCACTCAGAGCGCTGTCAAACACCGTCGCGGGCAGTCAGGCAGGAGCTTCCACCCCTTCGTCCATCCACTCCTCCACCGCCGCCGCCACCGTCAACGCCGCCGCATCCTCCTCCTCCTCCTCCTCCTCCTCCTCCTCCTCCTCCTCCTCCTCCCTCCTCCTCCTCCTGCGCCTCCTCATTTCCCATCCTTCACCTCCACGCCCTCCTCCATGCCCCTCCCACCTCCTCATCCTCCTCCCTCGGCATCCTCCGTCTCATCTCCTCTCCTCCCTCCTCCTCCTCCTCCTCCTCCTCCTCCTCCTCTCCTCCTCCTCCTCCTCCTCCTCCTCCTCCTCCTCCTCCTCCTCCTCCTCCTCCTCCGCGTCCTCCTCCACTCCTTTTCCTCATCATCCTCCGCGTCCTCCTCCGCATCCTCCTCCATTCCTTCCCCTTAGAGATAACGTCTCCCTGTCGCACCCGGAAGCCAGTTTTTAGGGCGGTCCTGGCGTTTCGCCTGAGATGTCCTCATCATGTATGACCCTGAAGCTTACAACTTAACAACAGCGTTTTCAAAATGTGGCTCTCGCCCTAGCGCCGCGCACATTCGTTGCAAAAAAAGTGCAAGGGTTTCACGGTTTGGGGGCGGCTCCGTTCCAAATGTGGTTCTCGCCTTAGCGCCGCGCAAATTCGTTCTAAAAAGTTGCAAGAACTTCACGGATTGAGGGCGTGTCGTTTTCAAACTGTGGCTCTCGCCTCAGCGCCGCGCACATTGTTTTAATTGTTATATATATATACAAAAAAACAATATATATATAATATATATATAATATATATTCCGACAAAGCAACCTAACAGCGATGTGTAGGAGCATATCTGGAAGCATTCCCCTTAGGATTCAGATGAGAATCCAGTTGTAGAATTCTGCTGTTCTCGCAGTCGTAGTCGCATTCGCGATGACAGTCGCAGTGGCAACGGCAGTCGCAGTCACAGCCTCAGCCTCAGCCTGCCTCAGCCTCAGCCTCAGCCTGCCTCAGCCTCAGCCTGCCTCAGCCTCAGCCTCAGCCTGCTTCAGCCTCAGCCTCAGTCTGCCTTCAGCCTCGGCCTCAGCCTCAGCCTGCCTCAGCCTCACCCTGCATCAGCATCAGCCTCAGCCGCAGCCTGCCTCAGCATCAGCCTGCCTCAGCCTCAGCCTGCCTCTGCCTCAGCCTCAGCCTGCTTCAGCCTCAGCCTCAGTCTGCCTTCAGCCTCGGCCTCAGCCTCAGCCTGCATCAGCCTCAGCCTCAGCCTCAGCCTGCCTCAGCATCAGCCTGCCTCAGCCTCAGCCTCAGCCTGCC